AAACCTGAAAGCCCCATTTGTGGAGAAAAAATAAAAATAAAAAACTAGCTGGGCTTTGGTGGTGCACGCCTTTAATCCCAGCACTCGGGAGGCAGAGGCAGGCAGATCTCTGTGAGTTCAAGACCAGCCTGGTCTACAAGACCTAGTTCTAGGACATCCTCCAAAGCCACATAGAAACCCTGTCTCAAAAAAACAAAAAACAAAACAAAACAAAAAAACCAACTCCCAGAGTGTCCTGAACAGATAGATGCTTTCTCAGGCCAGCCCACTGTGAGCCGCTGGCTGGCATCTGCACAGAGAAGAAACACCACAAAAGGGCAGCTGGGTGGAAAAGAGGAACCCACCATCCCAGGCTGAATGGCTCAGCAGAGGCCAGACAAACAGGAGAGAGAGACATTTTGAACAGGAGCATAAGATGCCTAGCAAAACTGAGTGTTTCCAGGCAGAGGGAGGATCCCGCCCTGAGACAGGCTTGGCCATGGTGGGAGGCAGCAGAGAGTTTTAGCATGCCAGGAACAGGAGGGAAACAGACAAGTGAAAAAGAGCAGAGGCCGAACTCCCAACTATGGATCACTGGTAGAATGTTGGGTGCCAAGAAGCAGGCACATGGTCTGATATGGGTGCTCAGTTTCCACGAATGAGGTAGAGAAAATTCAAAGCCTATAATCTCCAGTGTCCCAGAGAACTGCCTGAGTGATTTCTGCCAGGTGACAGGGGCAAGCCAGCATAATGCCTGAATCCTTACAGTGACCCCTTTGGAAGTCAAAGGACCCTTTCACAGAGGTCAAATATTAGATACCATGCATATCAGATACTTACATTATGACTTGTAACAGTAGAAAATTGCAGTTATGAAGTAGCAACAAAATAATTTTATGGTTTGGGGGTCACCACTACATGAGGAACTGTATTAAAGGGTTGCAGCATTAGGAAGGTTGAGAACCACTGATTTAGGGTAACCTGCAAATATTTAACCAAACTGAGGACAGCCATAACAGCAGTCATTAAAACCAAAAGCAAATCATTGCTCCATGGGGTGGAGAAGCAGGAAGACAGGGTTACAGTTTTATAGATGCAGACACTTCTCATACTAAGAGGCTTAGAACTGCCAGGCCCAGACACTGGGCCAAGGGCTTTAAGTGGATGCGTCCATCTATTTTCATAACCATTAACTGGGCTTGGTACTATTTTAGAGACATTAAATAACCTGATTAAAGTTACATTGCTAATTCCTGAGCTGCTGAACTAGAATCTGAACCTAAACAGCCAGCATTCTTAATCTACCAAATGTGCAGCTAGGATGATTCCTCCCAGCTCTGTAGCCCGCCTCAGGGCGATAGGTAAGGCTCTCAGAGAAAAATCACAGAAAGTCTGTGACAGTACCAGGATTCAACACAGGTCTAAACTCAAAGCTATGCTGTCTCTTCCCATCCCTCCTTCATCTCTAAGCCAATGCAATAAATCAGATCAGACTGAATTAATAAGATCTGGTTTAATCTGAACAAAGCAACTCTTGGGTGATGGGGGAGGGGGGACCATGTGGCAGGTCTATGGGCCCAAATCCCCTGTAGGAATGGTCTTGAACAACTGGAGGAGAAGTGGTAGGGGTGGCAGGGTTTGGGGAGAGAAGAGGGGGTGAAGTGGAATTTCCATCCAAACACATATATGAAAATGTCTCCGATGAAGGTCTAATTGGCTATTTACAAGGCTGGTCATCCTAAGCTTAAGCTTTTCACCATCAGGCAATACTTAGGGCATAAATGAAACAACTGGCCTGGAATAATAGCAAGCATTTATTTGAATGCATAGGTGGCTCTACTCTATGATTAATTAAGCCTCAGAAATCATCCTTATTGTATCCAGGGAAGTGTCCAGACAAAGCTATGACATGTCAGGTGACATGTCAGCCAAGATCAATGTCATCTTCAGTGTTTTCTTCAGTTCCCTACAAAGAGGCACTGACAGGGAGAAGCCCAGTGCTTGGGGAACTTTGTTCTCTTAGATTGATATAAACTGGTCCCACCTTTCCACAAATGTGAGCAAGCTACAGGAAGCTCGAAGGGCAGGCAGTCAGAACTGGAACCAAGGATAGACTGGAATACACCAAGGAAGAAATGCAGGACACTCAATGGGGCCTTCAATTAAACTGGCTGGTTTATTTTTTTAATGTTTGTTTACTTTTATTTACTCCATGCTGCCATATGTTGAATTGTCAGAGCCAGAAATGAAGTAAGGGCTGGGGCTCTAGCTCAGTGGTCAGGCTCTTGCCTGGCATACACAAAGTCCTGGGTTCAATTCTTTTCTTTGTTTCTTTCTTTCTCTTTAGACAGGGTTTCTCTGTGTAGCTTTGGAGCCTATCCTGGCACTCGCTCTGGAGACCAGGCTGGCCTTGAACTCACAGAGATCCACCTGCCTCTGCCTCCTGAGTGCTGGGATTAAAGGCTTGCGCCACCAACGCCCGGCTCCTGGGTTCAATTCTTAATACCGCCAAAACAAACAAACAACAACAGAGCCAGAAATGAAGCAAGCCTTCTGAATTATGTCAGTAACGAAGAAGAAATAAAATGAGGTTAAAAAAAAAAAACAAAAAACAAAAACAAATGCAAGGCACTGAGTTTGAGAGGGTGGAACAAAAACTCCATGAAACATCAGCCACAGCTCTCCTGCACCAGATGTGGGCTAGTCACCGTCTGTGGGGGAAGTAAGCACACCCTGCAGGAGGCCCAAGTCTGGACGAGCAATGGGTGTTCCTTCCACCTACTGCAAGTGACAATCACCTAAAAACCCAATACTCTGTAAGCAGATCTTATAAAATTCCAGGGTAGACTCTAGGCTGAATGCTATAAATGACTCACTTTAAGGTCCTCAGGGTAACATCACTGTGAGAATAAGGCTTTGTTATCAAATCAAAATAGCCTACTTCCCACAGTTGGGTGGAGGTCAGCCTCAGCTGTGGTTACAGAATGCTCAAGAGCACAGTGCACAAACATGTCACTATCAAAGCCCAGACTTCTAACCAAAGGCCCAGCACTGTATCAGGTGCAGATGACAGAGAAGAGAGACAGATTTAGACCAGGCAAGATGGTCCCTTGACTCGCAGATTTTCTCTCACTTTAGGATGTTTGCTTTTAGCCATGGTCTAAGGATCCATGCAAGATAACAAACAAACAAACAAACAAACACACTTAAGACTTAAGAAATGGATACAAGCTCTGTGAGTTCAAGGCCAGCCTGGTTTATATAGAGAGTTCCAGGTCTACATAGATAGACCCTGTCTTGCCGGGCAGTGGTGACATACACCTTTAGTCCCAGCACTTGGGAGGCAGAGGCAGGTGGATCTCTGTGAATTCAAGACCAGCCTGGTCTACAATCTAGTTCCAGGACAGCCTCCAAAGTCACAGAGAAACCCTGTCTCGAAACACCCTCCCCCCCCAAAAAAGATAGACCTTGTCTCAAAAAAAAAAATCAAGATAATAGCAACAACAACAATAATAGTAAAGCAGTTATGAGATCAGAGATGCTCTGTGGCTAAGTATACTTGCTGTTCCTCTGGAGTACCCAAGTTCAATTCCTAGCTCCCCTGTTAGGAGGCTCACAACTGCAGATAACTCCAGCTCCAGGAAACCTGACGCCCTCTTCTGGTCTGCACAGGCAACTGCACTCACATACACTCCTACATACACATTCTCATATACATAATTAAAAAGAAAAAAAGGAAGTCATTATTAATGACCACTCAAAAAGGTGGGAGAAAGAGTAAAAATCTGATTCCAATATGAAGAGATGTCACTTAACACTGTAAACAGACTTGGACAGTAATGAGGAAGTGTTTGTATAGGAGGCCTAACCGTCACTACAGGAAGAAAAGGGAACTGTGAAAATAATGACAGTCCTGGGTTCGGCTTTCCAAGGCATGCTACATCAGAATTATTTCAGAATGTATTGCTGACTGTCAGAAATGACTTCTACAAAGATGTCTGCTTGTGTCGATGTGCTGTCCCTCCCATCCCTGTGGCCTTAACAAAGTGTACCATTGATGCCATTCCAATAAACAGTTCTGTAGGAGTGATGAGATGGCCCATGAATAAAAGGCACATGCCACCAGACCTGACCACCTGAGTTTGATCCCTGGAATCCACACATTGGAAAGAAGGGACCAACCCCCACAAGTTGTCATTCTTACCATGACATCACACACATCCAATTAAAACTTTTTTAAAGGAGTCCTGCAGGCACCACTCTCTTCCAGCGTTTTAGGAGACTGTGCCAGTAACTCCTACAGAAGGGAGGCTTCTTGCTAAGGATCCATAAAAAACAGGTAAAAAGTCACTTTGTCCCAAGATGATCTCAAGTCATTTAAAATAAAAAAATAAAAAATGTTTCTACCCTGGTAATTTAACAGTCTCAGACTCAGGACTGGGGAGGACCTGTACTAGGCCAGCCCTCTCCCCTCCCTGCTCTCTATTCCCCCCTCCCAACCTTTTTCTTTCTCTCTCATGAACTATTTCTTGCTCACAGTCTTTCACAGAGCCATTTGGGTCCATGGATGGCTATTATTATTTAAGATCCACACTTCAAATGCTGTTCATAATGATGATGATACCCCTGTAGTTTTTACTCATTTGTAGAAAGACCACGCAAACACAACTTGGATAGTTTCTTGATTAAAATGTGTAGCAATGGTTACAGCACATTTGGATATGAGATGTGATGAAATTCTATAGCTGTCTAATTCACAGGCATAAAGTTTTGAGAAGTTTGGGCTGGTTGGAGCCCAATGTATTTATTCATTTTTTATTAGACTCAATTGAAAGATCTGAAAAGACAAATAAATTACTTTCCTAGTCCCCTCATCTGCTATTCCAGACTATGTCCAACAGATGTCACATAAGAAACTGAAATTGCATCTTCAAATGAAGCATAACTTTAGTAAATAAATAATTCATGAGAATAACTGAAAACCAGACAATTTTCTAAAGCACTTGTGGAAAAACACTCACCTATTTATCTGGCCATTCTCTACTTCAGTGAAGTCATTAGACTCGTTGCTGATGTTGTCATCTTCGGGCACCGTCATGTTCTGCAACTCCGTTAACTCTAGGCCACTTTTGAAATGCATCATATTCAGATGTCTGCAGTCAAAAAGTCAGTCTGAACTACTTCTGCTCTTAGTGTCTTTAGAAGCAGGGAGCAGCACGTATAGATAGATTCTTGAGACCCCCTAAAACAAAGCAAAATATAGGATCATTAAATCGATGAAAGACTGATGATACACAAACCATCGCTGAAAGCAAAAAAACAATAAAGTCAGCAAAATGCCACTTTGAGATTTTGCTACTGGATATACTAAAACAGGCTTATCTCTGAATCTTACGTCTTTTACACATCTCCGTCCATTTTCAGTGATAAAGCAAGTCATGTCCCATGATCTTTGCTCTCATTTAAAGAAACCACATGTTAGTGACAGGCAACATATACCCCTTTATGAACCCGGGCTTAAAAATGAAAGCGAAAGGCCAGCAAGATGGCTCAGCATGTTGAGGCACTTGCTACCACCAAGGCTAAGGATCCGAGTTCAATTTCTATAACCCACAAGGTGAAATGAAAGAATTATTCCCTGCAACAGCCTCTGACTTCCGAATCTGTGCTGTGGCACACACGTCCCCCAACCATAAACAAATGATTTAAAGTGTGATAAATAAGTCACTGAAGGAAAGTGATTTCAGTGATTGTAATGTGCTTGCTCGAAGGGCAGAGAGGTCTGGACCGCAGGCGTGCACACCTTCATCCCATGAAGAAATTCGAGTTGAATGAGAATGCAAATCAATAAGTGGCATCCCCAGGGATTGGTCTACAACCTGGACAAATTTTATTTTGGAATTTAGCAAATAGTTTATACATCAACAGCAAGAGATTAAATCAATCTCTTCAATGAAATCACTCCATGTCGGGAATTAGGGAATTAAAAACTGAGTCAGAGGATTTTGGTTAATCCACCTGATACACTATTTTCTCATCAGACATGAAAGACAACCAGAGATGGGCAGCTGTGGCACCAATTTCTAAGGCACCACTGACAGAACGAATAAGAGAGAGTTTGGGGACACCTCATTAGAAGTCAAAAGGGTGGCCACAAAGGCAAATGAAATTTCAAATGCAAGACCAAACCAGGGGTGATGGCACAGGCCTGCTGGAGTAACAGTCCACACTTACATAGCAGGACTCTGCTTCAAAAAGGAGAAGAGGACGGGGAGGAGAGGAAGAGCTCCTGTAAGCGTGGCTGCCTCACTGGGCTATTCTCAAGTGTCACTTCAAGGACATTGTGAAATGTCATAGAATGTCAAAAGGATACACTCCTAGAATGTTGTGCTAGAGCAGTGGTTCTCAACCTTCTTAGCACTTCCACCCTTTAACATAGTTCTTCATCTTGTGGGGACCCCCAACCATTAAATTATTTCCTCGATACTTCATAACTGTAATTTTGCTACTGTTATGAATCGCAATGTGAATGTCTGATGGGTAGGACATCCAATACCGACCCCTGTGAAAGGGTCATTCAATAACCCCCCACCCCCAAAAGGTTGAGAACCACTGGCTTAGATGAAAACTTACAGGCAACTTCTAAGTGACGGAAAATCAGTCTCCTCCAGGGACCAGTGTCCCCCTCCCAAAACATCATCCAACCCCAGTGGTCAGCCAGGAACACATGTATATGAGCAGCACTAAATGGACACACAGGCTGTATTTATATTTGCATATGTGTATATAACAGTAATAATTAAAGAGGCCATAAATTTGAGGAGTAAGGGACATGGGAGAAGTTGCTAGAGGGGGAGAGGGTGGGGGGATTACGTAAATAACAATTATTCATGTATGAAACTCTCAAAAAATTAGACGAATGTTAAAAAAATAAAATTGAAGCTTAAAGAAGTTACTACAAGTAAACAAATTTTCTACGGAGTACTTCCTTACGAACATCTGATGTATTGTCTGACCCTGGATACCAAGATGACTGTGACCTAGTTAAGTGAGATCCGATATGCCTATGCAGGCGCCTCAGCGGGCACACACCAAGAAGCATTTTACCCACTGATCTCTAATGAACCTCCGAAGCACCTAGAATAACACAATTTGAGGTATAATCTCTTGGCACATGAAAACCACACGGTAGTCCTTTCCCTTCCAGGTCTCCCATCAGAAGGCAATTTCTCTGGTGCCAGGTGTTGAAACTTCTACAGCATAAGCACATGGTAATATCTCAGGTTCCAGGAGCCTCTCCCATCTGGACCATGCACCTCTGGGAAGTCAGAAAGCTAGGAGGGGCAGCCAAGTCCAGTTCTGACTGTTTTGGGAATCTTCAGATAGCAGCAATGGCCGCTCCTGTCTTCTCTGGGCAAAGCTGAGTGCTGAATCCACTCTCACCTCTGGGACTCCTTTAATGAAAACTGGCTACAAAGCAGGCTGGGTAATTTCTGGTTTTTCTCTCTCCAAACTAGAAGGTAGTGGGGTACTCAGCAGGGATTTTCTAAGAGCAGTTTTTTTTTTTTTTTAGTAAGAGATTGAGAGTTTATTGTTTGAAGTTAACCTTTTATTTCTCTCTGTGTGTGTGCGCGCGCACCCGCTATTGTAGGGTTTCTATTGCTAGGGCAGAACAGATGATAATTGGGGAGGAAAGGGGTTTATTCAGCTTACCCTTCCAAATTGCTGTTCATTACTGGAGGAAGTCAGGGCAGGAACCCAAGCAGGGCAGGAACCTGGAGGCAGGAGCTGATGCAGAGGCCATGAGGAATGCTGCTTACTGGTTTGCTCTCCATGGCTTCTTCAGCCCGTCTTTCTCATAGAACCCAGGACCACCAGTCCAGGAATGGCACCACCAACCATGGGATGTACCCTCCCCCATTGATCACTAAATGAGAAAATGCCTTATAGCTGAATCTCATGGAGGCATTTCCTCAACTGAGGCTCCTTCCTCTCTGAAGACTCCAACTTGTGTCAAGTTGACACATAAAACCACCCAGTACAGCACTCCCACATGCATGCATGTGTGTGTGTGTGTGCGCGTGCACAGTATACAAACAGCATGGCCTTGTCATGTGGGGAAACAAACATGACAATGCTTACCAAAACCCCACCCACTACATTTACGCAAACACCAGTCAGTACCAGTTCATCAAATAAGAAGTTGTCAAGGATATAAAGTAAGTCTCCTTGAAGCCTAACAGGTTCTTGAAGATGAAAACTGGAGAAGGAACAGAAACACACAAAGTCCATCATGCCCCTCATCTTGCCTAGACTTTACTTGAGAAATTCTTGATGCTCAAATTATCCTTACTTGAGAACTAAGTGATGATAAAAGTTTTTAAAATGGGAACTGGGACAGACAGTGTTATAGAAAAGTTAGTTGGACTGGACCATGCATCTTTTTTTCCCTGAGAGTAATACACACTTGATGGAGAGCCTCTAGAACAAACATAGAGAAATTCCGACACCTAAAAATAGGCCGCCAAGACACATTCATTTCCTCCTCCTCATTCTCATTCCTCTCTCTTTCTTGTCTCTTTTTCTATCTCTACCCCCGCAACTTCCCCTCGATTTAACACTGAAGATTTTACATTGTTTTTAACCTACTTTTTTCACGGAGCACCAGACTGTAAGGGTTCTGAAGGGCAGAAGTGGTTTTGCTAAGCCATTAGTTCCAGGGACATGGCTCAGGATTAAATCATGAGACCCTGAATTCGAACCCCTCAGTCCTCAGGGGAAAGCTGTACACACTGTGTGTGTCTATAATCACAGAGTTGGATCCCTGGAACTCAAACTGCTAAGTTCCAGGTTCAGTGAGACAATCTGCCTCAATAAACAAAGTGGAAAAGAGATTTCGGAAGACACCCAGGGCTGACCTTTGACCTCCACCTGCATTCGAGGGGACATGACCACACTTACATCCACACTTGTGCACACACATGTACATGGATACTCACAGACCACATGCATACATGCATATGCAAAAACAAAAGTCAGTCCCTCGATGATAAATAATACAGGTTTTGTTAGAAATACAACATTACAAAGGGAGGAAAACATGTCTAAGGGTGATCTGTTGTCTCAGCAAGCAGTGACATCACTGTCAGTGAGTTACTATAGGTTGTCTAGTCTTCTGTGGAAACGCTGCCTCTCAAGGACACCCCCAGTAAACCTATCAAATAAAGGATGACTACAAAAAAATGTACACATTCAAGAAAATGAGACTCAGACAATCCATTGAGAGATTTTCTTTCTTTCCACCTTTCTTTTTTGTTTTTTCCTTTTTTGGAGGCAGGGTTTCTCTGTGTAACAGTCCTGGCTGTCCTGGAACTCACTCTGTAGACCAGGCTGTCCTTGATCTCATAGAAATCCACCTGCCTCTGGCTCCCTAGTGCTGGAATTAAAAGTGTGCACCACCATTGCCAGGAAGAGATTTTCTTCACGTGTGTTCTTATTTTTTAAGTTTGCTTTGCTTTGAGACACAGTCTCACATAGTCTCGGCTGTCTGAGGATGCCTCTGAATTTCAAAATCCTTCTCCCTCTACCTTCCAAGTGCAGACATTACACTTGGGCATCACCATGTCTGGCTTTGAAATATTTTAAAACATATTAATTTTCATTTAAGGTATAATTTTCTACCCTGAGTTCTGTCAACAAATCTACAAGACCACTGCTAATGCCTGGTTAATGGCTTGATGCCTAGTCATACCCAATGGTATGCAATGGTGTCCAATGGTGCTCAGTGGTGCCCAATGGTATGCAATAGCACTCAATGGCACCTAATGGTACCCAACAGTATGAAATGGCACCCAATGGCACCCACTCTCTCACTAATGATGCTCAGATGCTTGATGGAGAGACTGACGGGTAGAAATGGGGCCTGAGCTGAAACTTCTCGGTCGAAGTAACACACACTCAGTCAATAGAGGTAGGAAGTACAGGCTAGATTTAAGAAAAAAGAAACAATTATAGTTTCCCTTGATGATAAGAACGACCAGCATTAAGGTAGTAACACACTCATGTGATTTGAAATTTGGGGTATTAAGACAGAAGGACCATGAATGTGAGACCAGTCTGGGCTACCCCAGAGAGCCTTTGATT